CGTGTCTCAAGGTCTGCTCTACCTCCTCCTTTCTGAATCCAAAGTTCGTTGTAAGTTGGCAATTCGGTCGCCACGTGGAGTGTCTGCTTTTATGCTCGCGGCTCCCTTCCCTCATGCTCTGAAACTTTTGATCACCTTCGCGCTGGATCCGTAGTATGCAGGCCACTCAGAAGTTTGCTTACGCGATTTAAGGCTGATTTTTTAGCGGCGTGGCTTGAAAAAAAAAATTTTCCGAGTTTTTGAGGGAACGAGGGAAATTAGTCGACGTGACGGATTGGTGTCGCATTTGAGGGGCCGGATTGATTGTCGCGAACCCGCCGAAGATGACTGACGCAAGCGTTCTTCGCCGTTGACGTCTGAAACGCTCTTGTTCATGTTCTGAAATTCCCGGACTGAAGTATCAAGTTTCCATTGCCTCTGTGTTGGTGGGCTTTCTTTTCGCTCGACCGATTCTCCCTGAAATTTGATGATCGGATACAATGTGGTCCCCGGTCTTGAAAAGTCTTCGTGGAGTAAAATCTGCTTGTGATGAGTCTAATCTGTTTTAAGTAATTCTCGCGTCATCTGGTCACGCCAGGTTGTTGAAAAGAGAAGATCTTATTACTCGACTCCAGAATTTGAATTCGAAAGATTCTCGCCCGTTTTCCGCCGTTTGCCCTTCTTGTATGAGGTGCGGTCCATAAGATCTGACTGACTGATTTCCTCCGGTCGCAATTCCAGTTATTCTTCTCTATCCGTTCTTAGCTCGAAAACTTTTTCGCACGCCGAGGTTGAAATACTACATGTATAGAGGTAGTTTACTTCGATGTTTGTCCCTTTGTCCAAAACGGAAGGTGATGTGGGAGCCAGTGTCCACGTACATCATGTATTTTTCTGTTGAAAAATTAATTGAATTGACAGAAATTTTTTTGAAATGTCATCGACATGTATACATTGTTTGATTCTTTCAATAACATGTATAAATTCCTGATCACATATTATTCAGACATTATTCAGGCGTGTGTGAGAGTACAGTATTTCACGTATCGCGCTTTTTCTGCAAGTCTTCGCCGGGATGGCTCATGATTGAAGCCAGAAAGAAACGAATAAAAAATCGGCTATTTTTCTTAATACTGTACTGTATAGGGAAAGTCTGCTGATGTTCCTGAGCATCAATGACCATTTGTTTGAAGGTTGCATTTATGTAACTGTGTTTAATGATAAATGATTTATTTCGAAGTCGTTTTTGAGGAAGCTGTTTCCTGCGTAGCACCTGGGTTTTCCCCAAGAGTGCAAAACAGCTTCTTGGGTCGTGATTCTACCAAGGGTGAAAATTCCCTCTCAGTACGAACGTTCGTCAGCGGTCGAGTGATGATATGAAAAACGCATGGTTGAACTGTAATACTAAGTGGCGAATGGAAAGGCGTGGCATCATGAATGCTTGTTGTAATCTTCATAGAAAACGTTGGCGGCGGCAGTTGATCGCCTGCCAGAATCTCATGGAGTACTGAAACAACTCCAGTTCATTCCGTGGGTTGCCTGTGTGGGTCAGTGGCATTCGTATTTACAGCCAGACTGCCTTGCGCGTGGGGGTGCACATGGGTCCGACTGCAATGAGGATCATCGTGTTGCGATTCTGGATCGACTTACCGGAATATTGCTGGAAATGCCATTATGTGATTCGCTCGTGCGTTTCTCCGTCAGCCTCAAAGAAAATGAAGTACAGTATGTCGGATGAACTTTGCGAACAAGAAGTTTTGCCGGTTTTTTCTCACATTTCCGACTACCTCTTACCTAGATATTAATTTACAGCGATTGAGACTCGCGGGTTACGAAAATCGAAAGTAATGTTGACTCGTTACCATATTTCTCCCTAAATTTCCGCGGGATTAAAAGCGCAATATAATTTGAAAATCTCCCGATTCGATGGTTTCCTCGGCATACCGAATTACGAAGCAAATAAATTAGACGTTGGAAACCTTGGGATAACGTTCTTCTGAATGACTCGTCTCTTCTGTATTTTCTGTATTACGATTTGATAAATTCCTGAAGCTCATTTCTTGCGCTATTTCACGATGGTTACCTTCCGACAGCGTCGATAATCTCTTACGACCTTGTTCTTATCCAAACCTACCATTTCAAAAAATGCATTTTTACTCATATATTCAGGTTCTTGCGTTGAGAATGAATGACTCAATGATCCTTGTCTTGCTTTTACTTTTTCCAAACGTACTAGGAAATTTGAGGTTACTGTAGAAGGTTCCCAAGCCTCTGGCATCGAGACTTGCTCGCGGTACCCCAACCTCCTTTGGCCCTCCCGTCAACGTTCATGTTCTTTTCGTCAGGCCTACTCTATAGAAAGCTTAGTCTCACTCAAAATTAATATCATGTGCGATAGGAATATAAATGAGACCGATACTGCACCGGAGTTGGTTCATTGAGAACGAATGTATCCCTCGTCGTTGCGTAACTTCTGGAATCTTCAGAGAGTACTGAAAATTGATTTCACATTTGAAAATCCCCTGCGTGAAACGTTCCGAGTAATTAAATCTCGGGTCTGGAGTGTTCGGTCATAATCTTTTTATTTGTTATTTGTTTTTAATGCAACGAGATAGGATCAATCTATTCAGTGGAAACTCGACGGTACCTGCTCTCATCGACTCGTTCTCTTAATATTTTGTACTCCACTTGGTTTTGTAAATGTTATGCACCTTCGTCCATGCCCCTAAATCTTTCCAATCTTGATCAAGAAGCTGTTATGAACAAAAGGAAATCATTTAATATTTCTCACTGAAATATTTCTCGAGTTCCCTTCTATCTCGCTTCATTGAAGCTTCCGAAAAATCCAGTCTTTTTAGTGTTTCACACAGCATTGCAAATCACGTGAACGTGTAATTTATTTCGGCATGGAAAGATATTAAGAGTCTTCATACCGTTGAATAGATTTATTTCATGCAAGTGAAAGCAGACATCACGCTTTTGAATACATATTTGGAACGGACAAGTTGAATCTTGAGTGTGGTTGAATGTACAGTACTCCTAGAAAGGGTTTATGGTGGGAATTGGTGTATCATTCACTATCGAAAATGAACAATCATGAAAGTTCTCGGTGATTTCACCTTTTTCATTCTGATCACGTGATTGCCTCAACAACGCTTGGCCCATGAAATCGCTTTTCTCAAGCTATTGAAGTATATGATGTAGTGTGTACTATCCTTTTAGTAGTTTTTACTTTCGATGGGGAAGACCTGGAAACAATGCTGGGCAGAATGAAGGGACCATTTAACAGCATTCATCTCAATTACCACAAACATTGTGGTCCGGTTTCCCCATTTACGCCTGGGAGTTTCCTGATCGCCATCAATCTCGTTTCTCTTCGTAGCACTTAAGCCCGTGGATGGGATCCATTCAGCGAACCGCAGCATCCACGGCTTTGTGTATCGTCCCCGAGTTTTCCGCAATAGTGCGCGTGTAATGAGGTTGCATTTGTGGCGCGATGAATGGCTTGCTAATGCTTTGTGTGTCATTTGCAGGTGAGGAGGGGTTCCTATTGCTTCGGACCCATCAAGCTGCCGGGCCATGTGCCGAAGGTGAGTGTGCCAATATCTGCGTAATCTGGGCGAGTCAGTTGGGAGGGACGTGTGTGGGAAGGAAGAAAAACCTTCAGCCCGCCGAGGCGAAGAATCCGAGGAGAAAACCCGACGGTTTCTCGAGAATAGTTGGCCCCTGGTGAATTGCATCACCATCCGAAATGTCAACCATCCGAAAAAAGCGCATCTCTGATGTCACATCAATAATATATTGAATTCATATTAGAACGAGTCTGAGAGATTGACTGTTGACCAGGTTTCGTTTCTGCTGAGACTAATTTTAGTCTCCAGCTAATGTTGCGTCGGTTGTACCGAGAAAACGTAGCATTGAGTTCTTGTAAAAGTATGTAAAGTAAATTTTGGAAGGAAATCTGTATCATATGATATAATTCAAATGCTCAACGTGACGAACTAGATCTTCTGCGTTCCAACGTATCCAAGAGTAAAAGTTGACTTTCGAACTAAATTCTTTCGAAGCTTGTGGATGACATTTTTAAAGAGTAATCAAACTTTTCTTCGAAATTGGCCTATTCTGGAGCAAGTCGTGCTAATGTGTGTCGGAAATGCCGTAGTTATTGTAGTTTCCAAATAATCTCGAAGGACACGACGTATGCTCCAATATTTCGAATATATGCCCATCCAATTTTTTTTGAGTGCATATTTTGAAAGGAAAATATGCTGTCTTGACTTGCAGCAAAAACGTACTAAGTATTCCTCTTCTGGCTATTTGTCACACCTTCAATGCGGAGCTGGGTATTGTTTAAAATGCGGCGCTTCTGTTTTTCGTCGTGGTTGCATGAATCTTTTGTTTTGTTTTTTGTTTCGGTTTTGTGCCTTTATTTTTTTCGGATCGAATCGAACGATTGCTTGAGCATCAAGTGCCAAGAGTGTTTCAAGTTTAGCGTACTTGAACACACTGTCGCAGTCGGAGCAAGTTTTGAATGAGAACTGGCGTATGTGTCGAATAACTATCGGGAAAGCTTGCGGTGGCATTTTGGCTGAGATTAGAAGTGTGTATCAAAACCGGAACGCGACATTGTGTTCTCGTGCCGAGCAGAAAATTTGGGCTCGTTTCCAAAATGCCCCGCCGCTTTATTCGATTCGCAAGCGGGATATCGGAATTTCGCGACTTGCAACTGCTTGAGGAATTGTTGGCGGCCAGCCGTTCGATAATGCCCTGCTGAAATCTCCGTGGCCCTGTCCGTCTCAAAAAAAAAAAAAGAAAGAAAAAAGGCTACCTCTCGATGTTTATGACGTCTCGGTCGCCGTGCTCTCGCGTTGGCGTGCTTCACCTTCGCGTCTGTCGGACGACACGGCGAGAGGAATTTGCGGGAATGAGTTTCACTACCGCGCGATTCCTTACCGTCACCGCACCGCGGGCGAGAACCTGCGTATTAACGACCGCTTGTAATTCAACGTCGACAGGCCCTCATGGTCTTCCCAACGGATGACGCGGCCGGGAACTCTATTTGGAGTTGTGCCAATGATCATCTTGGTTTCGAATGCCACTGGGTCAAAGGAGACACGTCCTCGTCCTTTGATTCTTTCATGAAGGAGTACGAAGTAGCGCGTCACGACTTGGTCATCGTGGACTGTCGCTCGTCGGGCTCGGCCACGGATCCTCAAGAATTTGCCAGGTCTGTACAACTAACCTCCTTCCCCCCCCCGCCCTCGTCGAGCTGCTAATTTTCCTTTCCTTTTCGGGGCTGTGTTCCAGGTCTCTTCGGAGCAGAAAGCAGAGCCAGAGGACCGTGCTCGTGGCCGTGGTGAAACGCAGGTTAGTTCATTCCCGCACATTCGCGATATCCCTATGTTCGACCGGTGCCAAGAGGCACCGGCTCGGCAATAATTAGCTTGGGCCTCGATTCCGAATTCTGGCGTTCTCCTCTCGAATCCGCGTGAGAGAAAATATGCACCGGAGCCGTCTGCCTTGAGTTTTGAGGAATCGTCCGAGGAACGTGAGAATAATTGGATTGTCTGTTATTGGATTCGCAGCTTGCTGGAGCGAGATGGAACCGACATCGGGCCACTGCTTGCGTCCGGCTACGATAGAGTGAGTAGGATTTTTTTGTTCCTCGCCATCTGAAAGACAATACGCTCGCGTCGCGGCCGGCGCTTCCACGAGGTCAGCGCCGTTTCTTGTACTGTACTGTAGTTGTGATCGAGGATCGATGGGCCGTTGCGTGCGCTGGTCTTCGCCACAGCCTTAAGCCGGACCAAGTTGTTAGGAAGAAGTAAAAAGAGCGAGTCTCGTTATCTTACTTTCGATTGACTTCAGCGTTGATGCGTGGTATGATCGAAGAATATGCCGCGTGTCGTGATTGCCGCGAAACGAACTTGACCTCTTTCGTCTTCCACAGGAGTTGCCCTATTTCGTTCGAAAGATATTCACGTCGAGGAATCAATAAATACATCAAAGAGTTGATGCATTGAGTGATGTGCGTCGAAGCACTGTTTCGGAAAAATTAATCCAGTACTGTATTTTGCGATTCTTAAAATGTTCTAGTTAATTCACCATAAACATAAGTCCCTCGTAAAACTATTGAATACAACGCTTCTCCGGTCTGCCAATCACGTTCGAAGTCAGCAAAGTTAGTCGTGCATCGTCACCATATTGAGACAAGCCGCACAATTTCCTCTTCAGAAGTCTAGTTTATTCCCTGGGTGCATTCTGCGTTCCCTCGTTTTAAACACAAAATACGTGTTTACCCTAGTTTCATTGGGCTCCCTTCGAAAATGTATCTGGAGAGAAAATCTCGTGATTCGGAGATGGCCGTGATTGAAAAAAGCTGAGTAAGAATAATAGTAGCTTAGAAATGGGAATAACTGGCGAACATTTTAAAATATTTCTTTCCTTTGTTTGAAGTTGGAGTTTTTCTGTGTGTGTGTTTGTGTGAAAGTGCTATCAAGAATCTTTGAGCTAGGCCGAAGTTCGCAGCCTGCAAGATATTTCCAATTCGTTTATTTCCAATTTATTCTTCATGTTTCCTTGATTCTTTGGGGAATTTTATTCGAAATCTATTTAACAATTTGAAGCCGTCTTGGATTTGTTTAGGGATATTTCCCATATTAACGTAACCGGGATTTTCTCCGCACCCGCTATATCCGAGTTTCGTCAAAACAAAACGTGGTGTGACGGAAAAATATCTCACCCGGATTGATCAACCTCTTCTCATCTTCAAAATGAGGCTCTTTTTCATCCAGAATCTAATCCTTCCTGATTTGAGAAACCGAAATCCATTACCGGGACGTCAGGAATCAGTTTTTGTAACGGTGGGGATATCAGGTCAGGCCTCTTGCTGCGCGCCCGTGGCCCGCGACACGTACAAGTTGGAATTGTTGCCGGCTCGCTCGCGCTTTGGCAACCCTTCAAATGTCGTGACGATGAATCCGATCTGCGGGCGTCGCGGTTTATCCGCCCTTTCGCCGTTTCTAATTGCACAGAGGTGCGGATGATGGGTTCGGCTGGTTAACTGAGTTGCCGACCGGGGTCACGAAATGATCCATTCTGAGTGTCGGATGTTTTTTTTTTTTTACGCATGTTTCTTTGTAGTGATTGGAAAGTCTTGAGTAATTCCACCGCGCCTGAACGCCCATTGGCCGTACTTATTTGTTCTCCGTGGGCGCCTAGTTCCCCGCATTCCTGAGCTGCTAAATCGTAATCCAGCAATCACGCGAGCTCGTCTCTCGAGTGAGCGTTGAATCTGTTCTTGCCATCCTGGCTGTCGGCCCAGAACTTTGCCTCAAGCACTCCTTTTAAATTCCAGACGAGCGAGGAAAATATCCGCGTATTCCTGCACAGTATATCGTTCATATATAGTTTAGTTCGTTCTTTGCCTTCGCCGTCGATAACGGTTGGAAATAGTTTTCGGTGCTTGTCGTTTGGACTGCTTTGGATTTTCGTGGCGTTGACATGGAGCAATTCCATGAGTTTTCGTTCCGTTCGAGGACTTTTTCAGTCGATTTTTCGTTTTTCTCGTTGTGCATTCACCAATCTTAGTTTTCCCCTCTAGGTAGCCTGTCGGAAACTTGAATTGAATGTCAGCTGGAGATCATGTTGGACACAACTTGAAATCTATCATAACTTTCAATATTCACTAAAACAACGATGCCTAGCCCCCTTGCCCGAAAAACTGAACTATACATATTGTGGACAAAACCGTTCTTCAATTAATGCTGTTCAAATTTAGTTCCGCTCGTAAAGTGTTTTTCGGATGCCCGTATTTAGCAAACTTTCTTTGTCTCAGTAGTTGAGGGTAAAGTGTATCTTGGGTCACCTTTCATTTTTAAATATTGTAGAGTAGTTCATTATTTCAAGTGATTCAAAAGTAGAAGCGTGATGCTTGAACTTTCGTTGATACGAAAACCCGCGTCGAAGACTCTTCGGACTTTCTTTTGCTTCACTAATTTGTAATTCCAATCGTATGATATGCTGATTGATGTGACAGGAATCGACTCCAGCAAATATGTAGTTCATCCTTCCAAACTTCAAGTTCACGAAACATTTTTTCTGCAAACGCTTGTCATCAAGATTCCAGTGTTGATGTTCAAGTGGATTTTGGGCATCATATCTTTCTATGCTGTATCATAAATATACAACATTTTAAATCTCAAGGATGGACTTTTTAAATATTACGTAAGCTATGTATTTGCTCTTTTTTTTTTTTTTAACAAGGATAATATACGTGCATATGGATCTTCTTTGAGGCTTTAGTGACGTTGAAATAGAGTTCCATGAGTGATAAGTCATGCGACGATCAAAGCAAGTAAACTCGTTACTGTGGCTCTTACGGTGGAGGATCAGCTGGGATATGATTGGAAGCTGAAGTGCAATGCTGTTCAATTGCGAATCCCCTCCCAGGTTTCCGAACAAATTTTCCTGTAGGCCCTGCTGTCAGCGATTCCCTGGAATGCATAAAATAAATGGTGTCGCCGGCGGCAGTGTTGCTCTGGGATTGCGAGTGGGAGACAAATATACTCGGCGGATAGCTCAGTGCTCTTTCCATCTGTTATAGGAGTAAGAATGAACATCACGAGCAAGTTCTCCGACCTGAGTTTTTCACCCCAGTTGAAGAAATCGCCAGCATTCGCCCGGAAAACGACGTCGAACTCACGAAGTGAAAGTTACAAAATAGTTCTCAGGAACTTCGTACGCCTGTACAATATATTAAATTCCTCACTGAACAAACCATGTAAAACTGAATCTGGAAGTTTCTGAGGGGTGCTTCTCGTCTCTATCTACTCTCGATTACCTTTTTGTTATCGGTTTCTGTAGCACACCTACTTGTACTCTCATTTTTAGGCCTTCGATGTGAGTTTCGGACATGGTAGGCCTTGCCTAAGATTGGGCCCGAACTGATCCGATCGCTTGTATTTCTTTGTGCAATTGACGATTTTTCAAAATTTTGTTTCTCAGGCTAACATTTCAGTTGTGAAATTTACTTATTTTTTCTTGGCTCCACTGCTGAGCACCGGTTAATGACCTCGGTTCTAGAGGAAGCCATACGGTTTACGCGACTGACGTAGCGAAGCACCCGGGATTGAACTTGCTGACCGTTTTTAAATCTTCGGAGTACTTCTTCACAACTTGAACCGAATATCTCATGACGAATACGTTCCATGTTCTTGTAAATTCATAAAAAATGCCGCCAAGAATGCAAGATGGGGAGCGATCTACACAAAAGCACGAAATTTTGCTCTAGAAATGGCTGAAGTCCTGTTTGTGAATCCAGTTCAAGCGAAACAGTCAAAGGCGGTTCTATTTTCTGCAGAAGTTCTACGAAGAAAAGTCCACTTCACATAGCTCTTCCTTCGCAAGAATTGATTGATTTCCACAAAAGATTCCTGTCCCCCCAAATGCGCCCAAGAATTCGGATGCTGCCCATGCGTGAATATGCATTAGATTGTCAGACGCATTATCTCTCACACGTTCGATCTCAATTCGAGATTATGTTTTGTCCGCAAGAGCGATTTACAATCCTCTCACAAAATTCTCGGCTATTTGATGCTTCCGCTCTACCAATTTCTTGATGTTTTCTACTGCCTGCGAGGTGGCTTTGGTCTTCAAAAATAGATGTCCTTGATCAAGATAAAGTCCACAACTGTGTGAGGTATTTTGCTCGGACGGCTGCACACGCTGAAGATGTGATCGAATCGAGGCGACAGTCGTATCAAGGGAAAATGTAGAGTCTTGTCAAATGCTTTCAACTTAATCTCTGTCAAAGCATCGGCAACAGGTCTCGGTAGAGACCCGAGCGGGTCATCATTCCCATTGCGCCGCAGAGAACGCGTTTGACCCCCAACTGCGAAGTATTTTGAGATTCCACCGAGCTGCGAGAAAGCGGCGATGAAAGGCTTGACATGGACGGGTCCCGGAAAAAGGCGCGACCGCGGAGTAGAAATGACCTGGGTAGAAGTGTTTCAGCAACGCAAGAGAGCGATGAGCGGGTGTTCGAGTGGTTGTAGACCTGGGGGGTGAAGTGAAGTTCGGCCAGGGGAAAGCATGGAGGAAAGTTGATGGAAAAGGACGATGAAAGCTCGGGGAACGCCGTGTAGGTATGACAAGGGAGCGAGTGAGCCTCAACGGGAACAGTGTGTGCAGCCCGGGCCTCAGGCGCGACTCGCACCGAAAGGATCTCGTCGTATCTCCAGCTGCTCCTTTCATCATCCCCAACATTTCAACACTGTCCCATAGCATTTCTTACATTCATGTAGAGCTTATGGCGTTTGCTCTCATCTTTTTGGTTTTTGCGCGTTTCGCGAATGCAAAATTTATAAGACGTCTGCGGAAAGCAGATTCGAAGTGCTTCGTTAATGCACCCGACAGCTTCCTGCGTCACGGAATGCATTTTTTTGCATAACCGATTTCCTCTCACTATCCTTCCGTCCATTCCCATCTTAAAAAATCCGGTTGAAGTCGCGAGTTGACTTACAGCTTCAGCCGGATGCAATTAAAAAAAAAAACAAAGCTCTCAAAAAAAGACGCGGGCTAGAAAAAGCGCGCGTCTACAAATTATTATATTGTTAAAATTCTCGAGGAAAAACTTCGAATACAGTGAGACCCCAAGATGCGGACGTGATTGGTGCATCAGCAGTGTCCTGATGTCCAGGATGTCCCAAGTTGAGTCTCATTTTTCCTAAGACTTCAATGCTAATGTATATAATTGGTTCGCCTTCTTGTCAAAAATTATAAATGAGTCTTCAAAAAATTTAATAAAAATTGATTCCTTCAACTTCAAGTTGTAGGAAAGGCAAGTGCAGAATAAAACCATACAGAATCTGATCTTTTGGTATCAAAAGATCAAAAAGCAAAGAAAAAGAATAAGTCTTGTATCATATGCACAGATAATGGAAAAAAAACTCGGAATTGAGAAGCACCAATATCTGCTTGCTTTTGATTATAAATTAGAGTGAATTTATCATGAAATATTTTTTTCCATTTTTGTGATATGAATACTTGATTTGTTCAGAAGATATCAAAATTGAGAATCAAATGTTTCTATTTTTGGGAAAATTTCAGAAAAGTGTCCCTAACTCGAGCCAATGTCCTGATGTCGGGCCTGATTTTTTTTGTTTTTATGTTTCTCTAAGTTGATTTGTCCGTATGTTGGGATGTCCACATATCGGTGTCTCACTATGTATTCCTTTTCTGTGAAAGATCAGAGCGCTTCCGTGTGTCATCGAGCGACTTCTATGGGAACCGTATTCACGTGAATATAGGCTGCAACTTGATTTTGGGCTACTTTTTTCAATGAAAACCCTTTTTGGTGCCTCAGGATAGGAATTTTTGGAAAGAAAGGCCTGAACGTTTTGGAAGCCTGTCCATTTTCTCTTAAGTGAGTACTTCAAGGCTGAAAATACTGGTTGACTCTCTCTCTCTCTACAACGAAATTTAAGGAACAAGAAAAAAATTCGTTGTGGAGAGAATTCCGTTGTAGAAAATCTTCTGGGACCGTAAAAAATCGTCGTACAGAGGAAGTCATTGTAGACAAGATCGTTTAGAGAGAGTCCACCTTTAGTCAATTTATGTTGAGGTTGATTCCTCGTGAGGACAGTTGAAATACCTTATGAGAGGAGGTGATGTACATTTGTTGAAACCGGGCTTGACGTTCAATCTGATCGCAGATTCCTTTCAATCTCTGGTGAAGGTCCCTCTTGAGTTTTCCAGCGCTTTGAGGAAAGTTTGGCCTGTAATTGTTTGAACACTGATTACAGCTTATAAAGGAAAAAACGTCCAATCGTGAGTAACGCATGTTACTTAAGGTACATGTAACCAGGTAACTCGAGTTCCGTTGCTTGAACATTTTGGACGGCGTACGTTCGTGCGCTTTATGTCCTTATATAGAGCCCTCATGTTCGTAAATCACGGCAATATGCGTAGAATGTGGAGTGATACAGGCTGGAAAGATGAAATTGTTCCATGGAAGCTCGGGGACGGAGTCCTAAATTAGGAATGATGGGTCGCTCGTAATTGAACGTTGATGATACGCTGTGTCGTTTTGCGAGACGTGTGGCCGTGGGATGGTTTTTCTCCGGAAAACGGAATGGGATATGAATTCGGAATGTGGTGGATGGACGTGTTAGGCTAATGGGCAGAATCGCTGAAGACTAGTGGGGTGTAAATCGGGCTGAGTGGTGCATGACGTCAGACGATTTGCCGCCCTGTAGCAATTGTCTTCGGTTTTCTCCGTCTTCCTCCCATCTCAGTCGCGGAGATGGAAATTTTTGCTGAAAATGCCTGCTTTCGTCCGAGAATTCAATTTCGCAGCCCTTATCCATTACTATGAAACGAACCAGCTTCATCTCTTGGTACCCCAGTCTTAAGTTCGTGAACAATCGAGGTCAGTGGAATGTGAATTCTAGCGAAAGATTGTGAAGACTGTTTTTTTTTCGAGTAAAGTTACGCATGGGCCCTCTTCATAACAATTTCTTCCACACATATTATCCGCTTGATCTTCCAGCGAATTTTCTTTTTTGTACTGTCGAAAGGGTTCATTTTGTATAAACGGCTTATTCCCATCGAAATCTTCTGCATAGCCATTGTTTGTGTGTCCTGTTCACTGTATCGGTCTAAGATACTCCACTTGTATATAGGGTTACATGACCATGTTACCAGCCTTTCCGGATCGAGTTCTTCGTCCTAAAATGGTTGAAAGGTCGTTAAGTGGGTTACCATTGTACATTCAGCTCGACCTGCTTCTCTTGATGCTCGGGATGCGAGGTTCTTCACGTGTGCTCCGCGGAGCCCATATCGCTCCGCAGGGACTCAGAGAGGTGAATCGTGGGTATTCGGCTCCGATTCTGAGGAAAAACGGGGAGTTGAAAAAAAATGTTGAGGAAAGAGTGTTCTATACGCTGCAAATCTTTTCCTAACTGTTTTACTGTACCGTATACCGTAGTTTAAAATAATTTAAACTTAATTTGAGTTAAAACCTGATGAAAACCAGGGAAGCTTGCCCGGATTTTAGATGAGAGACGAATCGCGGGAATATGAGACATCAGAAAGGCGAATTTCTTGTTGAAAGTTAAAAATTGCGTGGAATCTTGATTGTTGACCGCAAATATAATACACTAGGATTGTTCGGCATCCGCGCGGGACACATTTTTAAAGCACTTATCGAGTTCCTAAAAATTTTTTTCAGTGATGTTATCCATGCTCGCTCATTTTATTTTAGAGCAACAGGATTATGTTTCTAACGACAGCATTATTAGAAATGAAAATTTATGGCGACATAAAGATTAGAGCGTTGATGTGTGCTGTAATTTTATCAAAGCACTGTACGGTTGAACCATATTATTTTTGGTATAATTAATTTTTGATGTCTGGTAAATTTGAAGGAATTTAAATCGAGTGTAAATGTTGCAGTATTTGTATGCAACTCCCAGCATTTGTGTGCACGTTCAGGGAAATAAAAAGCTGGCCTATGATCGCGCATATAGTACCTATATGCTGCATTTCCGGAATTCCGTTTCTCGAAGTACTAAGGCCTGAAAGACGAGAAGTTTCAATTTTCAGGAGCCCGAAGAAAATAATTAATGTATTCTGGTGATGAATAGAGACTTGGGACTCGGTCTTATTTACTCAATTCGAAGAATAGAAATGAAGGGCTACGTGAGCTAAATAAGATGAGGAACTCGACTTGGGAGAGGAAGATTGCTGCGATGGTTGGATGAATTTCGCGTTGAGAAACTGCAACAAATCTCTGTCACCTCGTCGACTTTCTTACGAGCTGCGTCTTCGTCGTTCACTTCAGGTCCCCTCTCTGTCGTGAGGGAAGAAAAGCAGCGGCCGAGAGGTAATACATAATAAGACGTGGACATCCCGCACGCGCGTTGCCCGGGCGTTCGCCGGGATGTTCTGCGGGCCGCACGTGGCCGCCCGAGATGCAAAGCCGCCGGAATTGTGACGGGAAAATCGCCTGGGGTGCATCGCAATCCTTGGATGCTCTCCACCTTGCATTGCGCCGTGGAGTTTTGAGAGTCGATAACGGGTGATTGACCGAGTTTCCAGTCTCCACGCTCAGGGTTGCCGCGAGAATCCTCCTTTTTCTCCGGCGCCGCGTGCGCCTTGATTCCTTCCCCGGCCAGGTTTTAATTCCGTTCGCTCTCTCCCACTGTCGTCCCGCCCGGGGTGACCCCCACAAGCCCTGTCGTTTAGCCCTGCCTCGAAGGAAATATACCTGCGATCAAAGCTGAGCGCATCCTATACGTCGCTCGAATTTCCCCGGAGCCCCGATCCTATTGGCACCCAGGACCCCGTGTCTCCATCGCCACCAACGCGCTGACAAGAACTATCCGAGAGTCGTCGTGAATATTTAACCTTCAGAGAATTCTGGCTCGTCCTAAATTAATAGGGTTGCATTACGAATGCTCTGCGTACCGAACATAATCGCCCTGCTTTCATAGTTCATATTCTCTTGGTTGGCGTCGACGTTGGCGCTCAGGAATATTGCGCTCAGTCTCGCTATTCCTACACAGTACGTGGCATCTCGTTCTTCTCGGTACTTCCTTAAAGGAGACACGACGATCGTCCATCTCCTTGTACGGTATTAAACTTGAATTGCAAAAATTCGCACTTTCTTCTAAATAATAAATCTTGTCTTCTGTTTTCTCTTTGGTAAAACGTCTTCAGGCTCTCCTGGGGCCGCGAAATCTCATAGTAGACTTGACGAGAATATTTCCTGATGAAGACAGGCTCATATGTGTAAAATAATATCACTCATCGTTCCTTCGATTATTCCTTGAAAGATGAAATAATATTTCCTTCAAATGGACTCTTCATCACACTTAATTTTTGCAGACTCCGAGTAGTGCGTTAATTCTCCTCAAAAATTTCCATATTGGATCAATTTTCTAACTCTTGTACCCAAGAACTGAACAAGTTTGTAAGGATTCTTTCAGTTGAATTTTGAAGATTTTTCTGCGAAATGTGTTTTTTATAGGGCAGTCGTGCGCTTTTCTTTCGAATGTAGGACGCTATCGAAAAAAAGACTCATCCTGATTCTTTTGCGCCGATTTTCCCAAGGCGAATGCGTCTTATGTTGGAGTAAATACGGTATGTTAGTCCAAATTGTTTCCATTGACAGTGTCGATGCGTTTATGCATTCATAATGGAAGAAGTACGTTGAGGACCCGTATGACAGTTCATATGGACGAAATTAGGCTAGTGTTGCTAACCCACATGCTCGTAAGTGTAGGAGCTGAAAATGATGAGGGGCGTAATCAGCGTTCGGGGAGACGAGACGACGGGAACTGTCGTGAAAAGAAATGGTACGGCTGGAGGTGATCAAGAAAAGGAGAAAAGTACGAGGCTTTTCCTGCATGATGGGACGTCAGATCCTCGCAATGATCGTGCGGGCCGGTTGCGGCCGGCTAGAGAGCGAATAATGGACAGGCGTTAAAGGCCGGGATGATACCTGGCAGGTGAACGGTGTTCAGGGGACTCGCAATGGCTCTTGCGTCGAGGAAGAGACGAGAGAATCGGGCATCCCGGGCACGGGTCTTCGTCGTGTGTTTATTCGCGAGATTTCCGTCTCCCCGCGCGCTTCATCTTCTCATGACCTCATCCCGACCCGCTCTCCCTCGGCAGATTTTCATTGGAAACCTTCCTATTCCACGCATTCCATTGGTTCCTCCGGATCCGCGCCCGCATCGTCTCGCATATTTTTCAGCAGCGGCCTGCTTGTTCGCGACGCTCATTGTCTTCGCTTCTCCCATCTGTATTCTGATGTCCGCACCTCTGCGTCGATGCGTTCCGATTTTCTTCCATGACGCGCGTTTCCCGGGATCGTGAACATATCCGCTGGATTCTGGGAGGGGAGGGGAAGTGACGGTGGCGGCGCGGCTTCCTCATCTCTAGATCTACGATCGGAACCCCGGCACGCTTTGCCTTTCGACTTCCTCCGACAAATAAGACTCGAATACGTGTCGGAAACTGCGATTTGAAGTACAGTACTATACGCTGGTAGCTCACTATTAACTGCGTTTATGTATTAGTCAAACCGGTCTGGCAGCTGGTTTCGCGTGCAACGTGACAGATCCGATGGAACTCCCGGACCTAAATAACGGGCGTTAAGGACGTACGCGAAGCGGGACTCATAGCTTTCTTGAAGACTCCCATGTTCGCTTTGTTGCAGAGGCTACGATGCATGAACGTGTGGTTGTTTTGCATTTTATGTAGACGTCGGAATCTTCAGCTCTCGAGCGGAAACTTCGTCTCAGTCTGACGTAGCGAGCTAGATGGCAAGTGGGGCACAGCTCGCTGAACTTCATTGGGTCGTTCGCGCGGCGCAATTGAGAACAGATTAGTTTTCTTTTAACGCGCTACTGACGAGAGGAAAATATTCTCTTGAAAAATGCATGATGCCGCGCTGATCTCGAGCGTGTGCTGCTTTCGGATCCATTTCATGAGCGATTCGCCGCGGCGGGTTCCCGCGGGAACTTGCTGCAGTCTTTCCATGAAGTATTGCTGGTCAGGCATATCTGATGTGATCAATGTACATTGGACAGTGCACCATGAGAGCTGGGTATCGATCACCGGATCCCAAGTCACGTCAGAGCTGTATTTTTTTTAATTTGACTTCGGAAGGGAAGTAACGGTTGGAATCTCGTCGCACCGTCCCTCCCGATGGGGATACAATGTTTTATACAGTCCTTGATAAGCCGCCACCATCTGTTCGTGAGGTTTGTGGCTGTTCAGCGGGATTGACGGTTTAAAGGGGGATTGATGCTTCATCAATAAAGTTAAAATAAGAAAATTAAGTATTATAGGAAATGCAATTGTTATTCTTCTAGAAAACAATCATATGAGGCGTAAATTATATCTATCAATTTTCTCAAGAAATAAATTACTTAAGTTTGTTTTATTTCATTTTTCATTACTTGGAGACTTGTCGAAGAAATTTTAATCTTGTTGGCGGGCTATCAAAGACAAAATTTAGTGGCAGGAGCATTTTTAGTTGTTGATAATTTTGGCGTGTGTTGGATGACGTTTTAACGGGGTTTTCGATGCTTTTATGATTAGGGAAGATTTGTTTTTCGAAATAAATCGGCGGTTGCCGAGGATGGCAGCTTATCGGGGTTTGACTGTGTCTGGATTCTCGTCCCTTGCTAGCTTGAGGTTCTCGGCGTTATCAAGTCGTCAAGACTATTCGAGAGCTCCAATGACTATTTGTTAACAAATGTGAACTTCACAGTTGTTTTTAGTGGAGGTGGACTCTCTCTCTGCAAAGATTTTCTGTGTACTGTACAACGAATCTTCTTTTTTTGTCCCATGGGGTTCTCCACAACGAATTTTGATTCAGTCCCTTGAGTTTCGTTGTAGAGAGAGTCCACCAGTGTAACGATGAAGAGCCGCGAGAAGGGAACCGCGCCTCGAACCGTACCGTAATTTTGGAGGCGATTTGTGTCAGCCTCATCAAAAGAACTCTTTATCTCGGGTTGTAAACAGGTCTGATGTATGCGTAAAATGGTCTAGTTTATCCCCTTGACACCTCCTCGTCAGGTACTTTCAACGGAGAACGGGTGCTGACGAACATCCTCCCCCCCCCCCCCCCCCCCCCCCCCCCCCCCCCCC